ACAAAAAGCACTCATAAATTCATCATTTTTTATCATAATGGAGAAAAAATACACCTGGGATATCACTAAATTAGTAAATTTATCTCATTCTACAGTGCAGTATGTGATAAAGCGCTTTAAAGAAGCAGATCGGATCGAAAATGAAGTAAGAAGTCATCTGGAAAAGTTAATTCAATGTGATTAGAGATTTAAAGTTACAAAATTAGTGAAAAATCGATGTTTGAGTGGTGTAAAGATTTCTGCAGAATTTACTGAATTCTGTACATCAATTCACCAAAAACTGTTCAGCAAGAACTCAGATCTGCTGGATTGCATGGGCACTCTGCTTGAAGAAAATTTTTCGTAAGAACAAAAAATAGAAAGCTTATTCTTTCCTTCCCCAAATCAATGGTAAATAAGCCTGAAGCATACTGGAACCATGTCTTTTTGCAGATAAAAGAAAATTTAATATTTTTTGGTTCTGACAGGTAGATTAATTTTATGGAGGGGGAAAAAAATGAGGAACTTAATCCCCAGACCTTGGTAGGTATAGTAAAGCATGATGGTGGAAGTGTTCTTGTGAGGAGGGTGCATGTCAGCATCAGGATTAGGTAATTTAGCACTTACTGATGGCATAATGAACCATGCTTTTTATTTAAATATTTTAAAAGATAATTTAAAATTATTCCCCCAAAATTTGGATATTGAAAAAAAATTTTTTTTAAATCAGGATAACAATAGCACGGCCCATAACGTTTGCGTTCGGTGTATCTATGATTGTTCACAAGTTGTAAAAATACCACCTCACTCATAAGTTTAAAACTCAATAGAGCACACTGGAGAGAATTACAGGTTAGAGTGCAAAGGCACAACATAAAAATGTAAACTGAACTAAAAACAGGAATGATGGAAGAATGCAGGAACATTGATGCAGATACTACCAATAAAAAATTAAAAAAAAAAAAAAAAACTGATGAGTCCCATGCTCACATATTTGAAAGTAGTCATAAGTGCTGCAGGATATCCTACAGTATAACTAAGATAACTATTAAGATATTTACTAATATGTACATATTTCTTTAAATTGTCTGAAGACTTTTGTGATGTAGCTTTTCTGCTACTTTTTTATTACTGATTTTGGTAAAAGTATAGTTTAGGGTACCCCTTGGCGAAATTTGGCCGCACATGGATACTGATTTTGTGCAATTCTTTGACTAGTTATTTTGGCTTTGCGTCAAAAATCACCACTATACAAAGCCAAAATAACAAGACAAATAATTGCACAAACTCGGTATTCATGTACACATCGACTTATTTTTAATTAAAAAAAATCCCCGAATTGCACAAAAATTGCACACTCATTTGACTTTATCCATGTACACGTTGACCTATTTTCACTTAAAAAAAATCCCAGAATTTCACAAATTTGCATTGTGCACTCCCTTTACTTTGTCCATGTACACATTGATATATTTTCATTTAAAAAGTCTAAGGAGCACCAAATTCTACAATATAGGCATAAAAAAATACATAGGCTGATCTTTGGAATATGGTAACAGGTAGTTTGGCGACATTTTGGAGGCGATAAAGGTTACTACCTAGGACTTTGGTAATAATGTGAGAAGTACTCAGTTCCGATTACGCATTATTTTGTGTGAGGGAAATGAGAGATCATGAGATATGTCATGTCACATTACTGGACGAATTACAGTTCTTTAATCGGAAAAGGGGGAAAATTTGGAAAAATATGTGTAGTACTATATTATTTTGTATTAAGCTTCATTGTGTGTTGTGTGAAATAGTGTTGATTAATTTTCGGATTGCATGGCGCTATGTAAAGTGAATTCTAAAATTTTAATGCGTTTATCTGATAATAATAACAAGTTGAGATTGTGTGAAAGGAAGGATATTACAGATAAGTTTGAATGGCGGTGGAAGAAATCTGGTAAAGAAAAGAGTTCCAGAAAGTTTCAAATGTTCCAAAAGAGTTCCAGAGTTCTACAGAAAGTGTTCCAATCGGCTGCAGTTGGAACTCTTTCTGTAGGGAAGCGTGCGTGCCACGTAATGAAGATTCTGAAGAAGATTAGGTAAGTTAGTATTTTTAATCATTTGAGGATATTATTTTTATGCATTGTTCTAAATGTAAGGAGTAAATAAATTAATATGGTATTATTGGAAAATTGTTATTAGCAATGATTTAGTTTAAAGTAAATTAGGATTTTAATCTAATTTTTATTAATTTAATGTATGTGCTTATTTATATTTTAAGTAGTGTTTTTAAATTTAATTATATTTTAATTTAATGATCATGATTTTGTGAGTTATATGTTTGTAGTATTTTGGAATACGTTTGAGTAGTATACATTGAGTATTTTCATGCATTTTCGTGAAATTTTTCTAATTTATGACAAAAAAGCAGTGTACATGGATATAGTGAAAAGTTCGCGCAATGCCATTTTTGTGCAATTCTGGGATTTTTTTTAAGTAAAAATAAGTCGACGTGTACATGGTTTAGTGATATTTTAATTAAATGATAGTTACTTTGTGAATTTTATGTTTGTAGGAATTTGGTATACGTTTCAGTTGAAGTAAACGTGCATGAAAATAATTTAAATATTTGACACTAAGTATTTGTAACCATTTTTAATGTTTGCGGTAGAAATTCGTTGCTGACGTTTATAATATAATAGATAATTTAGAGGTAAAAGCTTTTGGATATTTTATTTATTTTATACGTGGAAATGTTCATCCTTGGAAAGGGTATATATTTTTTCATGATCAGGAAATTTCATACATGTGCTTTTTACCAAGTTTAAAGATTCAGAAAATTTTCTTGCATTTTCGTGCAAATTTTTTTAATTTATGAGAAAATAGCAGTGTAGATGGATAAAGTTAAGAGAGTGTGCAATGCCATTTTTGTGCAATTCTGGGATGTTTTTTTAAGTAAAAATAAGTCGATGTGTAAATGGTTTATGTGTATGTGCTATTCTGAAAAACGCGCAAGGAGTTTGCGATTGTGCACTTTTCCCAATTTTGCAGTTAATATTTGTCATGATTAAGCAGTTTTGTTACATAAAATTTCTAGCATAAGTGTAATTCGGCTAGTAGATTGTTGGAAAAAGTGTTGAGTAAATAAAAAGAAAAGAAACATGTCTTTACTTCGTGAAGACAAAATGGCAAGGAAAAAAAAAATAGAGGGTTGCTGTAGCAGAGTTGGTCGCCAAATTTTCGCCAAAAAATCGCCAAGTTACCATAATCCAAAGATCAACCTTAAGCACTATCAAAAGCAAATATTCACTTACCATGAATTTCGAGTTCGCTTCGTACACCCAGAGCCACGTAAAAATCAAAATATCAATCATACTCAAAATGACTTTTTTCAAACCAGGTACTCTTTCTGATCGAAAGCTTCACCTGGTGACCATCTGAACCTTTCTTCCTACAAACCCATTCAAATCCATCTAAATGGTTTTTACATTCGACTAAATGCATATCCTTCCTACATACAGGACACTTATAATGGCTACTAAGTAAACCTTCATTTACACACCAGTCAATTAAAGCTCTTTTCCCCATTCGCTCCAAATTGTACAGAAACTTCAAATTAATCTTACTACATTCGGTCATTCTACCATCTAAAGAATCAAACCAACACACACGACAAAAACGCTTACAAAACATCCCATGATTCAAAATTTCCCAGAATCATGTACCCGATTACGTCACAATAGGGTTTCCATAATATTCAACTACTCAGGCTACCATAAATGAAACGAAAACTTGGCAATAAATCAAACAACTTTGCCATAATACAAGGGTTACCTTAAAGTCTACTCTACACCTGATTTTTCAAAAAAAAAAAAAAAAAAAAACTTTTACTATATTCATAAAATGACTACTATACTTTTGCTAAGAATAAGTTCTAGATATTATTAAAATATTCTCATTCTCAAATATTATTTTTTTTTTAATGAAAAAAGCAATATTTCACTGAAGCTCGCAAGTATGAACACTTTGGAGAGGCACAGTATGTTCCATGGACCAATTAATGTCCAAGACAAATACATTAAAAAATTTATTTTCTTGAGCAAAAATACAACCATAAGCCATGACTGCATTTTAACAGTTACATTTAATGATACGCAAGAAGCTGAAGAAGAAATTTCGAATGGAAAAGTAAATAGAAAACAATCACTAAAAATAATGCTTTAAATACATAGCAGATTGAAGAAAATTATTTTTAACTGAAGAATTAAAAGAATGGATAAATACCTTGGATGTACCTAAAGAGGCAGAGAAATAGAATAAGATAAACTAAAGGAAATCATTAAAAGTCTTAAAAACTGATGACCTTAAACATTTCCTTGAACATGATTAAGCTTTACTTAAAAGAAAACAGCAGAATTAATGATGGAAAAGAACAAAATGATTTTGACAGAAGGAATTTATATGAAGAATTTAGCTCTTAACTGCTTATTATCTAATTTTTAATGAAAGAAACAAGATTTTTGATTTTCTTTTCAAAGCTGTCATATTTACTGTACCTTTGTACTTTTGATAAAGCAAATGATTCTTAACCTCTTTGTTCATTCTAAACTAAAATACGTTCAAAGTAAAGCTTTAAAATTTCGACACCAGAAAATCAGATCCAATTTTTAAAAATATGAACCTAAATGCACTTTTTTTTTTTTTTTTTGCTAACACAAAAGACAATATGCAGCTCCAAACAGAAGAAGCAACATTACCTTACCACAAATTTGCAAGTTTCCTACCTTAAGTAAGTGAAATATACATTCTGCTTGATTTTTTTAATTAAAAAATTTAATTAAATTAATTTGTGCAACCATACCATTCATACATCGATATTTTACATACGGCAGTAGAACAAATATTAGCAGTGGCTTATAAATCTCACATGACTTCAGAATATCGTCTTTAACACTTTTTTTAAAACACATACGTAGATCACTAATTTTCAAGTAAAACATGTTTATGATAGATAAATAACTAAAACAACTTACAATAAAACCATCCTTCATGATGGTTTTTCTACTTCTTAAAATAATTCCAGCAACTTTCTTAGATACTTTCGGGGGCATTATAACATTTTATCTAATTTTGAAACTTGAAATTGGATTTAAAACTTGGATTAAATTCATGATTATTTACACATCAACAATAAGCAGGGAGATATTCTTCAAGTAACACTTGCAAACAAGATTAGAGTTGAGTTGAAAGTGTATTCATCTGATCAAATACTAATTCCGGAGGAAGTAAAGTAGGTGAGAGATTCCTGGTCATGACGGGAATTCTTTGATGGAACGGAATGGCAACAGCTTCAAAGTTTACAAATGTTTGTGAAACTGAAATTACTGTTTGTATTTACATGATGTTGACTTATGTACTGTGTTATAATCTAATAATTTGAAAAGTGTTTTTCATGTCTTTTTGCTAATTAAATTTGTATTGAACTATCAGATAGTAAGAGATTCATTGGTTAGAAAAGTTATGCGAATTACATGTATATCTTTTATGAAGTATTATTATAAACATTTAATTTCAGTTTCTGTTAACTAGTTTGTATGTAATTATGTGGGATTCTCCAGAAGCTTTGCAAGATATATGTGTAGAGTATATTTCTAGAAATATTAATCTTGTGTTCAATGCAGTTCTTGATGTAAATGGAAATACTTTGAAGTACCTTTTTAAAAATTCCCTTCTACGTTTTCCGTGCAGTGTATCTGAACAATTATTTTCTGCTCTGAATGATATTGGTTTAACTGATCAGCTCTTGACGATCTTTGATCCTTCTGTTACGAGGCTGAATCGAGTGTACATTGGAGAAGATTCAAAAATTTCTGTGAAAGGATTACGGGTTTTGCGTTTCCATAAAATATCTGAACTCTCTGCAGTAGGTTTAAACAACATTGCGATAAGTGAGCTTGTTGGATGTTTAAGTGATTGGACTCTTGAAAATCTTTTTCTTTTAAATGTATCAAATAGCACATTTCTTAGCAGTGAAAAAGTTCGCATTTTCATTGCTCTTTCAAAACTAAAAAATCTTATTTGTTTAGATGTAAGCTTTACAGAGTTTAACAGCCAAGGTTTAGAAATTGTTGCTGAAGATTTGCGGTGTTTAGAAAATCTTAATATTTCCGGAACTAAAGTAATAGATATATCGCCATTAAAAAAATGCAAAGATCGCTTAAAATTTTTAAGTATGTACAATTTAAAAATATCTCATACAAGCACTTTCATGCCTGTGTTGCAGAAGCTTCATAAATTACAGCATCTGGATATTTCGGATGACAAGGATGAGCCGTATGAACTTGCCAGTGTTAACATGTCGGCTTTCTCTGAATTTCTAAAAGATCCAACATGCCTCCCTTCATTGATTTCGTTAGATATAACTGGAAAGAATGGTGTGGATGCTGATACATTAAAGTAAGTGATGTGTTTGCTTATCTTGTATTATCCAGTCCTTCAAGAATATGAAGAAATACATTAACTTGCTGTTTCCCCCTTTTTTTACAAATTTTATCTTAAGATTGAGAGGAAAAATGAAGTGAATACTTTAATTTTCAGTAGTGCAGCAAGAACATAATAAAAGTAATTATGGGTAAGCTAATGATAACTGTCAAAATATTATTTATTTAACAGAAATAATATTCCAATAAAAATGCACAGTAATAATATTGCAATATCTTTTATCTCCACTTCTAGTTCCTTCGATACTGGATCTTGTCCACTGCTACTCCCCAGGCTTCATTACTGTCTGTAGTTTGCAAATCATCACCTTCAGTCTGGCTTTTTACTTGTAATGATTTTCAGAGCCATAAACAGTATATAATATTTCTATTTCCTTGAAGCTATTCACTGTCTTTGTGAGAACTTATGCACTCAAAATCTATCAGCAAACCAGTTAGTGAGAAAACAGGAACACTATATGGATGAACTGGTTTTAAACTTCAGGGAACCTTCCTTTCTGAGCACCTTGAAGATGTTGAAAGTTACAGAAATTCTTAAAAAATTTTCAAAACCTTAGATGCTTTCAAATGCTTAGAAGAAAATTTTGACAAGGAGGGATATGCGAGCAAATACGGTATATGCGTTGTAGAACTGGGAGTTCTTAAACTTTTTGATGTTGGCCCCTGTAATTACTTTAGAAAATTTTGCTGTTATATATTTGGAAATGTTAATGACATTGACTGGTGATCAGATTTTGGTGCCATACTGGCCAAATTTTTTTAATGGGGTTAGGATAACAATTGCATTTGGTTTCTACCATGATAGAAATTGCTTTTTAAAGTATAGAAAGAAAAAGTACAAGGATTTGAAGAAAAAAAACTAAGGTACTATTCTGTTTTGAGGACCGTAAAAAATTGCAGTGAAAATGTATGTGCAAAAGCGCCAAATCTAGCAAACGCGCCCATTTAACAGCACGCCAAATCTAGTGTATGTGCTGATTTCAAATTCTGTGTGTTTAGATAGTTCTCTATTTCTTAAGAAGCCATTGAAATATTAGTTTAATTTTTAAATCCATTTTTGATGTCATATGGATTTAGTAATTTGGGAATTGCCCATGATGAAAAGTTTGCTATAGAATGTTTTCAAAGAAAAGGCATCATTCATTATAGAAAATTATATTTGAACAACCAACGAGATGAAATTATGCTTTAGCAATAACTCGGTAGTGAAAAAGCGATGCAGGAAACCATTCAGTTATGTTTAGCCTTTTTTTATATAAATTATAATAATCTGAAATAGTTATTTACTCTTATGCTTCCATTCAGTTATGTTTAGCCTTTTTTATGTAAGCTATAATAATAAAAAAGTATGATATGAAATTAATCTTTCATCTAAATTAAAACAATAATCTTTAGATAGTTATTTACTATTATACTTCCTTTCTTGCGTTAGGGTTGCTGCAATTATTTTTGGCAGCACTGGCATCAACAATAGTTTGGCGATTTTGTACGGTTCTCAAAATGGAATAGTACCAAAACTAATAATAAATATACATAAATTGTAATGATTCCTTTCTTTGTTTTATTACATTAATATCTTGGTACAGTGGAAGTCCAGAAATCTGCAAAGCTTGGGACTAGAGGTTGTGCAGATATTAGGATTTTGCGAATTTCAGGACAGAAAAGATAAAGCATAATATTCAGACTAAAAGTGCAAAATAAGTAAGGCGTATTAGATACATTTAATTAAATTATTATATGCATTATTGTAATAATTTATTATATGCATTAAATTATTATTACATATATAAATTTATTATATTATTCATTGTATTACATGTACATGGCATCAAAGTTTGCCAATTTCGCCTCATGCAAAGACTTCCGGTTTTGGATGCTTGTGTTAGAATCACTGTTGCTGTAAAATTTCCACAGCTTTTCTTTATTTTTCCGTATATCATACACAGTCGTGTCGTAATTCCATACGATTCTGCTATAAACTGAGGAATAGGAATAGCACCTGCCTCCGTCTTTTGCAGAATTTGCACTTTTTGCAATGCAACGTGTTTAAGTTTTTCGACGTTGCAAGCAGTAAAATCATGAATGTTTTTCTTATCTGTTATTGTATTAAAAAGGGCTGAAATTTAAAATATTCTTAATTTATTCACAAAAAATGGCAGCAGTAAACAATCTCGTGAAATAGCAAAGCTCAGAAAATATAACAACTTGAATCGTGAACTTGAAAGAAGAGTTGAGTGAATCGTCTGCTTTTTTACCTCGATGCAGATTAGAGGGAAAGATGTTTTTATCATGATGTCAATAATTTGGTATTTCTGTTATGAATCATTATTATACCGTAATTATGATATCATTATTTGGTAAGTAATTTTTCTTCGATATTTCGTACTCACTGTTGCGGTTTCCGGAACCTGTAAACTGAATGTTTATATTTTGAGAGGCAAAGTGGATTTCAGGTCAGCGGATTTTCGGTATTTGACTGTATTTACATACTAGTGCAACCACCTTGCTTCATTTTGGCAATTTTTTACAGAAGAAAATGAATGGTGACTTATAATTGCAAAGAATTATTTATTGCATACATACTTTATGTTTTAATTAGTTATTTGTCCTGAAAATCAATTAATAAACTTACTTAAGTAAGTTTTTTTCCTTTTTATTCTGGTGAAAATATTGTGTTGATGCCTTTAAGAATGGATATGAAGCAGTTGTTCCCTTTAATTCCCCCATGCCACCTCAGCTACAAAATACATTCTTACAAAAATTTGGCAATAGTTTTCAGTAAAGTGCAGAATCGGCCACTTATTTGTTAAGCGCCCATGCGCTTTTTACAAGGATAAAAACAATTGGATTTTTGTAAATTTTTCTTTTATTTTTTAAGTCAAAATAGGTCGATGTGTATATGGATACCGAGTATGTACAATTCTTAAAAACGCACCAAGCAGTGGGTGATTCTGAACTTTCCCCATAGTTTTGTCCGCTGCTATCAGGTCCCACATATTTTAAAACTAAGTTTAAGACAAAAATTATCACGATTTTTCTAAGAAAAACATTTGAATACAAGAAAAAGAATGCATACAAAAAAGAGAAGAACTGAAGAATTCTATCATGCATGATTGTCAGAATTTAGTGCATTATGAAAATTCGGCAATTTCTTCTAAGGTGTTATTACATAAGTGGCAGCATTTCTATATTGGTTGAATTCTGCTACTTATGCATACCTATATTCGTTAGTCCATTTTGAAAAAGTGGAGCAGACTTTTTTCAGATTGAGGCACATTTTTATTATTATTTTATTTTTACTGATAAGAAGTGATTTTGATTGAAGCATATGACTAAATATGGTCTTTTCGGAACTACTCTTATATGCGCCCTCAGGTCGGCAAATTTCTTGCCAAACATTTTTGGCAAGAAACTCCACACCGCCATATTAATTCCTACTTAATTTTTTTTGTCTACATTTCGAATTTTAAGCCTAAAATGTCTCCAAAAACGTGGTTTTTGCAAATGCAAAAACCACATTTTGAAAACACAATTTAAGCTAAAAATCCAAAACAAAAAATTTAGATAGCAAAAATGTAAAGTTTCTAACCAAAAATATTTGACAATAATCCATGTACACAGCGATATATTTTAACTTTAAAAAAATCTACAAATTGCACAATTTAGGCAACGAACGAATCTACAAACTACGCATACCTCGCTTTAATAAATTAACGTAACAATAAATTTCAAAGAATACCATGTACACAGCATCTTGTTTAAATTAAAAAAAATCTACAAATTGCACAATCTAGGCATTGCACACAAATCAACTAAATTACAAACAATTCAAAAAATAACAATAACAACAAAAATTCATAGTAAAAAAACAATGAACATAATATTCTACAAAATAAAATGCACTTACCATAATACATTCCTAAATAATATTTCGCCAGTCACACAACGTCTCTGAACAAAAGTGCCACGATTTTGCTATATGACATGTCTTTCTGAGATTCAAAATTTCGAAAGTAACGATAAAAATTTCCTCCAATTATGATCTAAAGGGTATCAAAATTTACAAAAAAAAAAAAAAAAAAAAAAAAAAGCTTAATGTTTATTTGTTTACTTTATTAAACATTTCTTTCAATGTAAGTTGTTTAAGTTGCTTCGTTTTATGTGATAATACTTTCTCTTTAAATCTATAAACAGACATAATTTCTTATTCAGTTACAAAGCTCCGCTGTTTAAGTCCTATAATTGCTGTGTCGAGAATACCGACTAATTTTTCAATCGAAATTTTTTCGTTTTCAATAACCTCTGTGTCACTTTCTTCACTATCGGAAGCGAATTATAATAATGAGGAATTTGATTTAAATGATATCAAAGACGGAGTTCATTGAGATGAAATACTAAATTTAGTAAGGAATTATAAGCCAAATAAAATAAAAACATCTGTCCTGAAGATAAGGATAGTGCTGACAGATCAACTTCCAATTCATTGTGCGCCGTGACGTTTCCTCCCCCCCCCCCACAGAGGAGCGTGAAATTGATAAACAGATTTCGGAATGGTTAGAGAAACAAAGGATATGCCTTTATCCATTTTTTGCAGCAATTCCACTTTTTGTTTGGTGGACATTTTTTGTTTGGTGGTGCTTTCGCTTTGTAGATAGATCCTTTGGCAGCTCCAGAATCGGAAATTCTATTTGATATAATCGAAAGTTCAAGCTTACTTTTACAAAATTGCTCTAACAGTCTGCAAAAAATAATAAGCTGGATCCAATTCGAAGATTAAGGAACAATGCAATCTGCAATGAAATAGATAATTTTAGCTTAGCTTATACCGTCCGTTATACATTAAACGCGCATGCGTAAACGCCTATGCGCATGCATCAGCGCATAATGTGTTGATGCATTCGCAGAAAGTTTGTAGCTTTGAGGTTTGGATTATAGATCATTCCAGATTATGGGTGT